CCCCTGATAGTCCAAAAACAAAAACAACAATTAGTAAATATATCAAAAATATAGGTTGATCGAGAAAAAGAGCTGAGAAGAAGCCTGATAGAAGAAATACTGGGGCAATTAATATTCGTCAAATCTATTGTATAAATATCCCAAGAGAAAAATTATATTTCTTAGATGAAACTGGAATAAACTTGCATGTTGTGCCAATCTACGCCTGGCCGCCATACAATTTCCGTCGAATAAAAAATCCCATCCTCTAAGGAATATAAGCACACTTTGTATAATTGGAATTGAAGGGGTAATCCATTATAAAATAATCGAAGGAGCTTATAATGGGTTATTATTCCGTGATTTTATGACAAAGCTTATCAATGTCTTCACCAGATGCAATGGATAATGCATCTATCCATAGAAGCCATCTTATCGATGCTTATAAAAATAGGATTAAATACATACCACCATATTCACCTCAGCTAAATCCCATAGAAAATTTTTTTAGAGTCTTGACAATACCCACCCTAATTCAAGAGATGAAATTATTGGGAATATTTTTCAGCTCTTACACGGATTTATACCTTATGATTTTACTAACTTTAACAATGACATGCAAAGCTATTTGGAGTTGGGTTATCGCGGGCAACTGATTAATTTGGTAATCCTTATAATTGATTTTTATTAATAATTATAATAATTCTTTTAATTTCTGAAAAGGTACCATCATCAAATTTAATTATAATTTAATGTATTAATTATTTTATCGAAGTTATTATAAAAATTTATAGTATTATTATACTTTTATCGAAATAAATGTTTACAAAATTACAAAATAGATTATATTTAAGAAATTCTAAAATATTTTCGAAAAATTTTTCTTTTTAATATTGAATTAGCATTATTCTCTTATATAAGGTAATTCTAATGAAAAATTTTTCTTACAAAAAATGATTTAGAATAGATGAAATTTAATCAAAATTACTTGAGCATTCTCAAAGAAGATCTAAAAAAAATTTTCATTTTTCATCACAAATTAGATATTTACAACTTAATTTCATTTTATTATTTTAAAACGATTAATCTTGTTAATTAGTTTCTTGTCCATATTTAATTTCAATATGTATTAAATTAAAATAAAATCTTATTATGTTTACCCCCTTTTATTGTAAATTTATTATTAACACTCGTTTCACTGTATTATTATAAGAAATTATTATTATGGGTTTGGGTTTAACAACTGTTCAGAAGTCTGCTAAATTTAACCCATGAAAGTCTAAAAACAAGTTGGAGCTATCATATCAGGTGAGAGGGGAGCCCTTATGACTCAATTGCAGTCAATGCGCTGGGCAACTAGATACTATCATTGTTTGTATATTCTAGGGAAAAATATCATGATCACTTTTTAAGAGATGGGTTACTTGGGGCTATTAGTATATCAAATGGTTCAGGCTGGATGTAAGAGGATGACTTTTAACTTTTCTATATTATTTTGCCAAACATGTTAAACCTATAAAAGATTGAAAGGTTCTTATTATATTAGATAATCACATTTCTCACCAATCCATAAAAGCTATTGACTTTTGTTTGAGAAAGGGAAAATATTATTAACTCTCCCACCAAATTGTACCCATAAACTACAATCTTTGGATAAAACAGTGTTTGGCCCATCAAAGAGATGTTATAACTCTTCTCATCAGTTGACTTATGGATGAGAACTAATTATGGTAAAAATTTTACAATGTATGATATACCAGGTATAGTCAAGTATATTTTACCTTAAACATGTGCTCCAGCTACAGTTCAAAATGGTTTTAAATCATGTGGAATTTGGCCATTTAATCCTATCATTTTAATGATGAAAGTAGATGATTTACCTAATACTTTAGAGGAAACTAATGATAATAATAACAATATTAATTTTGAGAATAATGATAGTATTCATATGTCATTGAGAATTAGACAAAATGAGTCTGAAGTCAACCATTCTCAAATGAGCCAACAACCTCAAAAAATGTTGATCCAGAATCAATTTTTTTATGCTCAATATTTTACAAAAAGCCTTAAGCAAAAATAAGCAATATTCTTCTATTTTAACTTCTTCGCCATATAAAAAAAAGAGAGAGCAAATAAAAGATAAAAAATGTTATTAATAAGAAAAACAATTGCTTAGTGTGAAAAAAAGACTGGTTTCAATGTCGTAAATGTAGTTATTGGTCACATGGAAGCTGTTGCCTTTTTTATTAGCATTGTGAATAATGTTCATTTTTTTTGTTTATAAATAATTTTATATATTACTTTTATGCTTTAAATCATTAAATATGTTCTAATAAAAAAAAATATATAACTAAAATTAATCAGAGTTTATAATAGCTCCGAACAAAGGCTCGTTCGTCCCCGGGTAGGGTTCATTCGTTCCTAAAAAAAATTCCACAAAAAATAAGATTTTGAAAAAAGTATTAGATATGTATTTTTGAAATTTAAACCTATCATAAAACTAATAGAGCTGAACAAAATGAGATATTTTTGGTTAAAAATGATAAGGTACTTTTAATTTTATTAAGGTTGCTTTTTAGGGTTCGCCATAACCCCGGTTTCCCCTATTACAAGTCCCAGATTTATACAATTTTCTTATGGCCGGCCCATTTGAAATTTTACTCCAATTAAGATTTTTATTTTGCATCATTTACCCACCCAGCTGGAATTTTTGAAATTTGTTCATTATATATAATTTTGGCTGTATTTTGCAATTTTTGAAATATAATATGAGCAGAGATGCATAAAACGCTCCATTAAAAGATTTATCTACTGATTAATTGATATAATTTATAAGCCCGATCTGGGCTTTTAATCTTTTAAGCTCTGATCCGATTTTTAAAGTCATATTAATTTTTGGCCCTGGGCCAGCAAGCTTCTAATTATTATAATAAAAATAATATATAAAAAAAACTTTAAAAACAAATTGAATTTAAGTTTAATCACTGAATCCAAAAGTTAGTTAAATGAAGTCTTTATAGTATAATAAATAAATTTAATTGCTAACATCTAATATATATAATCGCCGTAATCAAGAAATGAACATTTTCGTATAACCTTAATGTTAATTTTTTTTTTTTGGTATCAACTTTCCTTTCATCTTAATGTTAAATAAATCTAAGGAGACTATATACCTCTAATATTAAATTATTTACGTTCAATACACAAACGTTCTTTCCAGTCACCCTCATCTATATTTAATTTTGTAATATATTTTTTCTTATATATGAAACTATATTATGATAAAGTAATATAAATATTAGAGATCTGCAAAGTTAGGCCCGGCCCGTACCCAATTTTAATTAAATTAATCGGGTTCGGGCCTGACCGGGTCTAATATTTTTTTTAAAATTTCCGGCCGGATCTAATATTTTTTAAAAAAATCGGGTCGGGTTGAACCTTGGAAATTTTTTTAAATATATCTAAATTTATTAATTTTATTTATTTATTGAAACCAAACGACATATAACATATGTCTTTTTTTTTGAGTAATTATAAAAATTAATTTCATTTAAATAAATTCGGGCCGGGCCAGGTCGGTAAATTTTTTTAAAAAAAAATTTCTGGTTCGGGCCGGCAAAACTTTTTAAAAAAATTTTGGGCCGGGCCGGGCTTGAAAAATTAGGCCCGATGCAGATCACTAATAAATATATCAATATTTATCTTTTTTATTGGAATCTCCAGGCTTGGGAAAACAATTTCAAAATTATTATCGGTTGGCCAGGTGTGAGAAAATTTTTTGGGTCGGGCTGGGCTTGGAAATTATTTTTATAATATTTTTTTTATTGGAACCTGAAAAAAATTTCTTGGGAATTTTTCAATATTAAATAATAGGCATAGATGATCAGTAATATTTTAACAAATAATATTGATATGGGTATCAATTAAAAGCTTTAAATATATTTTTACTCAAAACATAGCATTTAAACTTAATTTTAATGGATTGGACCTGACCTGAATTTGGGAGGTATAAAAAATAAAAATTGGATATTATTTTAAAGTAACAGGTAACAACTATCATATGAGTAAGGAGAAAATTCTTATTTACCGTCATTTTTGACGGACTAAGCATTGCTGACTAATAGTTAGTTATATATTTTCCATCTTGCCCTTCAAGAAGGACGGGTCATCATACTTTTCTCCCATATTCGATGATAGATAAATCAGAAATTAAGAATATCTTATGAGGTGTGATTACAAATTTACCTCTTTTTCGCCTAAATTTTAATATTTTTATAATATATACTAATAAAGTATATTTAGTACTACACAAACTAATTACCACTCAACCCCGTCATTCTTGATGGGTTAATAACTAGTTAATATATAATCCATAAAACAATTACCCGTCTGCATTTATTATTGTAAGGGAAATTTTATTTGTTAGATTACATAAACTTTAGACTAAATTAGTTTTATAATCAACTGAGTTGGAACCTATGTTCCTCTTACTGATGTTACACGGTCCGCCCATAAATATATAAAGTATATTATTTGTTTTATATAAAATAAACAATTTATGTTCTTTTCTCAATAAATTTAATTTGAATGTCACAAAAGATTTGCATAATATATTTTGTAGGAATCGAATTTTCATAAAATAGACCTTATATATTTTTTATACAACTTGAGGGAGAAACTGGATCAAAATTATTTACAATTTATATTTATGAGCCTGCATTATACTCTTTGTAGGGAAAATATTACAATTTTAATATAAGTTGCAGTGTTAAAGACTGTAACTATCATTATAACCAATTTCTATATTTTAAAAGTTATTCAATAAGAAATTAATTCAGAAAAGATTATATAATTATGAAATGGCTTGTGTATATATATTTTTATTATTCATTTTATTAACATTAACAATAAAATTTTACATTTATATTTATAAATAAAACCATTATATGGCAGTAAACAAAAATATTAATCAAAATTCAAAAAAATATATGTAAAATGATAGAACAGAATAAAAGGTAGCATTATTTTTCAAAAAAATTATCTATTCTAGGCCTGTTCCCAGTGTTAATTTTACTTGAATAGATTTCTCCTTCTTTCGGGTTATTTCTATTGCTCTCATTATTTTCTCGCTCTAGGTTTTTTATTTTTGAATTTTTCTTCCCATTATTCTTGATATAATCTATTGTTTCGACCTTCGACTTATCCTTGTGTTGATTATTAAGCTTTAGTGTTTCCTTCTTTAGTTCATCCAAAATATCGCGTCTAAAAATAGTGTCCTTTTTATCAGCTAAAACTCTGAGTGTATTCCTATCGGCCCTAAAAACACCTACTTGATAATTAAAAATTTTTGAATTCGTCAATGGTAAATTAACTATTTTATTGTGTTGATACAAATTCGTATCGAAAACATTGTGACCTCTTGCGCCTCCAGTTATTTCTTCTCGAAAATTGTGTTTAGGAACATTAAGATCATTGTAGTCATTCATATTTTGTTGCTTTCTACGTCGACTCTTAATATCTTTAGGATGCCCTGTCAGAAATTTAACATTTCTTACAGCTTTTGATTCATCTAAATTGTAATCTAAGGCGAAGTTTTCATTGTTATTATAATTGTATGTATCTTCTATAAATTGGGGATTGTTGATTTTTTCTGATAAGGCTAGAAATCGTTTAGCAAAGGCGGCATCTAATGTATTAGTAGTGTATTTTCGGGATGTTAATCTTCCATCAGCTCTTATACTCATATTTCTAGCCAAATTTTGAGCAACAGATCGACGACCTTTATTGAACACTTCACCATTTCTGCGGCGTTTATCGATGGCAGCAGAATTATTATACATGTTACCATTTTGTATTGGTTTAGAATTAGGTGTATTGAAAGGTATATTGTGAAATGATTCGTTGGCTCTATCGAAACCTCCATTGATATAGGAAGTAGTTGATTTGCCATTCATGGGAATTCCTTTTTGATTAACGGAGTCATTAATAGAGTGTTCTCTTTGAGCTTCATATTCAATTTCTTCATCGAGGCCCTCTAACTTTTGGAGTTCGCGAACTAAAGCTACCGCTTGTTCAGCTGTCAGTTGTGGAGGGTAAGATGCATCACTTTTACCGTTTCTCAAACCCGATCTAAATCTGGAGAGTCCTCTTTTTTTATTCCAGCATTTCAAAAATGATAGTTCAGTGGTCGCCAAAATTAACTGGAAAGTACTAAACCTATGGGCTAACATAGCAACAAATTGTGTTATCAATAAAAACATAAAAACAACAAGAAACACCAAAGCTATTGGTTCTAGTTTTAAATATTGCTTGTCGCTATTTTCTAAAAATTCCAATGAAAATTCCTCATAAAATGTATCCTCTATATTATCCTTTAATATTTCTTTATCTTTTAGAAGGCGCGAAGTTTTTTTACCCCAAGGCCAGACAATGTATATTTTATCTTTTCGTAGTTGAAGGAGGAAAATAATTAAGATAAAACAGGCGTTGACCATGTAAAATCCCAGGATTACCTTAATTAAGTGTTGAAAAAAAGTAATCAAACAATAGAATAAAACATTAAAATTAAAAGTCGATTGATTTTACATATTGAAATTTATATTTTATATTATTGTCTAACCCTGCATTCACAGTTGAGCGAAAATGTGAAGCTCAAAAAATACAAAATAGAGTTATTTCATTCCTACTTAGATTTCTCTTTACAAAGGCAAATAGGCAAATTTTAGGATTATTTAGCAGTATTTTCCAAATTCTAAGCGATTTAAATTTTTTGCATTTCTCTAGCAAAATTATAACCTTCATATTTGAATAAACATAATGGCAAGAAAAATAAAATTTGGGGGGAGCTAGCCAAATAATTTGATATATTAAGGAGAAAGATAATTATTCAAAGTTGTACTGAATATCTTTCAGTTTTCTTTATTTAAGAGCTAGCGAATCACAAATCAAAAGTAGAAGATTGGCGCTATATGTGAAGACTCTAATTCAAGAATTCATTATTTTTTTTATTTTTTAATATATCATCCTTAGATATTGATAATTCAATTAATAAAATTAATATTTCTGAAGATGTGTCTATTATATATATTGATTAATAAACTCCTTATTTAAAAATACAAATTTTGGATCCATCATATTTAGTAAAATTTAAAAAATTTGTATATTTAAATAATAAAACAGACGTTAATAATAAAACCCTTTATTGTTATATTATATATTTTAGCTACTAAGTATTAATTATAAAGGTAATATTTATTTTTGCTATTTTAAATTTTTTGGGTTAATTATAGAATCAAACAATTAATCAAAAATTATCATATTGAACATTCCAGAAACGTCAAAAGAAAAGATAATAATTATTTCTAAAATAGATTATTTGTGAAATTATTAGAACTAACAAAGATAAGATGAGAAAAAGAGGAAGTCTTCATATTGTATTGATATTACATTAAAAACTCATCAAATTATCTGAAGAAAATAGTATAATAAACAGAGACCTGCAGGCCCGGCCCTAAGCCCGGCCCGGGCCGTATTTTAAATTTTTTAACCCGGGCCGGGCCTAAAAAATTTTTTAAATATACCCGGGCCGGGCCTAAAAAATTTTTTTTTAATATATCCGGGCCGGGCCTAAAAATTTTTTTTTAAAATATATCCTGGCCTGGCCGGGCCTAAGATTGTTAAACCCGGGCCGGGCCTTAATATTTTATAAAAATTTTTACATTATGAGTTAATGGTTATAAGATTATATTATAGTTATGATTAATATTATACTGGGTGATGGTTAACATACCTAACACCCACAGATCGATCTAATTATTAATTTCCTGCAAATTTATTCAAAGTATTAATATATTTTTTTATAATTCATATCAACATATTTTACCAAAATAATCAAATAAAGGAATAATATTCAAGTATTAATAATATATTTTTTATAATTCATATATTAATAATATATTTTTTATAATTCATATCTAAATTTTTAGAATATTTACCAAAACAATCAAATAAAGGAATATCATGGCACAAAATACTAATGATATAATTAATAAAATTAAAAATAATATTTATTCTTTTAGAAATACAAATAATAATTTAAAATCTGAAATATGGGCTAAATTTAACATCATCATAGATGAAAATAAAAAAAACATTGGCTACGTACAATGTAAGAATTGTTCAAGTATATTATCTTATAATTATAAACATGGTACATCACATCTAAAAAGACATAAATGTGATGGTAAATCCATGAAGATTAATAAATTTTTTTTACACCTGAAAAACCAACCTATAAATGTAATATAAAATATTTAAAAATTATAAAATAAATTATATTAATATTGTGCAATTAGATTATATTTTCAAAATACTATTTATTATACATGCATTTTTTTAAATAGCGATTTATTTTTATTTTATAAATTAAATAGTAAATTAAATACAATATATTATATTCTCAAAATATTTTCCATTTTTATAAATTAAATATTAGTTTTATTTTTTTTAAATGCAATATAAAATATAGTATATGCTCAAAATATTATTACCATTTTTATGAATATTAGTTTTATTTTTATAAATGCAAAAAATATAGTATATGCTCAAAATATCCATTTTTATAAATAACAGTTTTATAATTTTTATAAATTCAATATAATATTCTCAAAATATTAGCTTTTTTCATGTATTTTTTAAATAATAAACGATAATACTCGCTGAAAAATATGGTAAAATACCTCATAGGTGAATTTTTGTATATACCAGGTCGAATATAATTTTAAAAAATTCCGAGCCGGGCCTGAAATTTTTTTTTAAAAAATATCCGGGCCGGGCCTTAAATTTTTAAATTCGGGCCGGGCCGTAAAAATTTTTTTTTAATTTATCCGGGCCGGGCCGGGCCTTAAATCTTTAAATCCGGGCCGGGCCGTAAAAAAATTTTTTAAAAAATATCAGGGCCGGGCCGGGCCTAAAAATTTAAAACCGGGCCGGGCCGTGCAAATGGTGCCTCTGCAGGTCTCTGATAATAAATATAAAATTTTTTAGTCAAATATTTTATTATATAATAAATAAACAAATTACCAGAGTTGTTAAAGGATCTAGATATAAAAATGTGGTATCTGTATCTGTATCTAGATAGATTTTTGATTAAAATATCTGTATCTAGATATTATTTTAGACGATGTATCTGTATCTAGATCCATTTAAAAAGTATCTTTTAACAACTCTGCAAATTACATATATTAAAGGTTTAATAAATAATTTTTACTAAGTAAATATAAAGTAAAATAACATATAAACTATGTATAAAATAACATATATAAAAAATTATTTATAAAAAATAACATATTTTTAAACACATATTAAAAAAAAGTTAAAAATAATCATCCACCTCTGGTGACGGCCATGAATCTTTAAATAATTTAAAATTGTAACGTTAAATTTTAAAGCTGATATTTTGTTTGATCAAATGGGTCCTCGAGTTTGTTGTTTTAGTGCTCTTTTGGCTGATTGGTTTAATATGATATTTCGCCTTTTCTCCATATGAACAGTTTGTTGATAAGACTAGATGTGAATATTTAAGGAATTTTCTTTTTTTCTGATAAATCTAATGGATCCTAATTATTAGATGGGAAGAAAATTTCTATAAATATAAAGTCCCAATACATGTATTTCCACATATTGCTGGGGGGTTAAAATATGCCCGTTAGGCCGCGAGACATTAAAAACCGAAATATCTCTTGGTTCTAGATGTGAAGGAACATCGGTTTTGAATAATAAATTTATGATTATTTTATTAATTCTTTTGTGCCTTACATATTTGTATCTGTTTAGACACAATGGAGTAGATCTCTGGCTTTAGAATCAATCATTATTCCGCATCTTTTACTGTATAAGATAGAGATATTTTTAAGCCTAGCCTGATAGCCTAAGCAAATCTAAATTGTATTTATCAAAAGATATTTATTTAACATGCTTATCGGAACCTGATCCAATACCAATGACGAAGGTTAGTACTGTGTGTCATTGTTCGAAATGAGATAGCAGCATAATCCTTTTGTAAATTAGAGAATGGAGGAATTGTGCCAGAGGATTTAGCAGGATGTCCACAGAAGGTTTAATTAATTTATGAGAATTGTGTTTTTTAAAATAGAGAAATAAAAAAACTTTGAAAGGATGTTGTTTATAATTAAGAAGAATAAAGGCGGACCGAGTAATCCCTTAGCTTTATTTTTTGTGCCGATAGATTAGTTAATTTGCCATATCGTAATATGGTTGGGGTGCCATATCTCGCCCTCATATAGTTGCTGGATAAACTTCTAAGAAGCTATAGACTAAAAAATTAAAATCATTGAAGTAACTCATCAAATTATCTGAAGAATTTAGAATATTATAAATCTGAAATATTTTAGATATATTTTATATTTTTAATGAATATTTTTCTAAAATTTTATTATATTAATTAATAAATAGCATATGAAGGTGTTGGTTTAATAAATAGCTTTTACAAAGTATTTGCTAAAAAATATCTAAAATATATACTATAGTGTTGTTAAACGGCTCAGTTAAGCTGATTTTAAAAAGGGCTAATTTAAGATTTTAATCAAAAATACTTGAAAATTTTACCCACAGATGACAGAAAGGTTTGGGCATCTGTTGGTAAAATTTAGAGGTTTCCATAATAATATTTTAGTGAAAATCTTGATTTAACTATTTAACAACACTTATATTCGTTTAAAGATTAAATTTCTCCATTTTTTAAAAATAAATAGTAGGGATAACAAACATGGAATCATCCTTCCTTTTATGTTTACATTGACATTATTTTGCAATAAAAATTTTAAAATTTATATAATGTATATTTCTACTCAACTGTAACCGCTTTCACTAGTGAATACTCAGCTGATTTTCGCCATAAATTTATCACTTTCCTTTCACACTCTCCATTAACTGTGAATGCAGTTTAAGTATAACTAATTATAGTTTTAAAGATATATTTTTAGCTTACTTATTAATCAAACAAAATATTTATTTTCAAACTTTGTTTCTCAACGATTTCAAATCTGATTTGATCTTTATTTTATGTTCTTCGTCTTCGTCCAAAGGATATAAATACGTTTCAATCAGTTCTTTCCAAAATGTTTCTTCATCTTGACTTATTTCTGTTAATTCCCCTTTCCGCAATGATTTGTCATTTACCCAGGTAACCCTCTCTACATCATATTATATAAGAAAAATTAGGTGATGAGAAGTAATCCAAAGAAGGAAATTTTTTAAAATTAATTTTTAAAAATTTTATATAGGGTTTAGATAGGATATTAAAAGTGAAATTAAAAATTTCTGATTAAAAATCTTGATTAAATTTTTTTTAAATATTGAAGTATTTATTTAAAAAACGTATTATACTTTTCTGATATAATTTTTAATAAAAAAATAGAAACTTTGTATTTTTGTTCTTGTATAACCTATGTCATCTATAGGTGACATAATAGCATTCCCCATATTGATCCGAACTTGCTTTATTTTTTTATTCTGAAAATTTGACTCAGCAATTAGATTTCGACCTTTTACTTTTGAGACCTGGTCTAGGTTATCTTTACTATCCAAATACTTTTTTGTGTTGATTAAGTTTTCGTTTATATTATGCAATTTTTCAGGGCTGTAGAAAGAATGAGATTGTCGGATAACCGGATTTTGTATTAACATTCGTTTGGCCCTATCAAATAATGCGCTGGAAGAGTAATAATTCCTCTTTCGTTTTGGCTTCCCTTTAAATAAAACGGATTTACTGGTTTTGGATTTGTTGTCTTTTTTGGAGCAACATGTGAGACGACAAAGAGTTCCACAATTAAAAGCGAATCCTTCATCTTCATCTACATTGTCGTATAATAAAATGTCTTGATCAGATTCTTCATCAGAACTCGAAATCAATTCTTCTAATCTTTCTAACAAAATATCACCATTCAAATCCTGTGTTTCTTCAATTAACCCATGAGACAATAATGGTACATCCTCTGATTCAACTTCCTCTTGAATTATCTGTCTGCCTTTAAGTCTAGAATTATCCTTCATCAAATTATTTAAGTATCCGTAATTAGGAATCATGTTATTTAATTTATTCGTTAGACTATTATCACCTGTAGGGCCTTTCTGAGGGTAAGCCATTAATAAATGTTGGGTCTCAGATTGATTTTGAATTCGACGTTGCATGATATTATCATACAAGTATTTAAGCTTTGTAGCCTTCCATTTAGAACGGGCAACTTCATTTAATCTCTTTTTTTTCCTGTCTTCCCTAAAACGATCAATTTTATCGGCACCCGGAACTTCTCGCGTACCCCATTGTACTACATGAAGATTAGTCAAGGAGTAAACGATTAACAACAAATACATTGCCGGTATAGAGAGAAAGTATAAAATTCCGTAAGCTATGTTCCAAAACTCTTGCGGGTGTAATAATGCCGCCACAAAAAAACAGCCTACAAATACGAACAAGAAAATAGACGATGGTGATGTCAAGCCGTCATCTGTTATTTGAACAGATATACCAACAGATACGGAAATCATAAGCAATGCATAACAAGCACTTAAAAATGCTGCAACTAATAATTGTGTCTCCGAATCCGCAGATATGCATATAAACACAAAACAAATTATTGGTACTAGGTTAAGCGCAAACGATTTCCATAGGTTCATGTGGAACACAAGGGATACGGCCCCTACTATCATCAAAAAAATTGTACCCGGACCAATTAAAGCACAACCTAGCAATGCCCATTGATATGCAATGTATGCGAAAGATATGCTATCGTTCATTTGGATTGTCTTATTATGACTACAAAGTAAATCCAATATGTTAGCTAACGTTGATGGAATCCAACGTCGTCTTTGATTATAAAATTCAAAGAATCCTTCTGGAGCATGTGTAAAAGCATCTGCTGCAGCACAGTATTCCACACGGTATCCTTGTTGTAATAATAGAGTCGATAGCCATCTATCTTCACCTTATAATTTAGAAAATTTATATTATTTAATTTAATTTCATAGCAATAATATCAATTTCATAAAGTAATATAATTTGGTCATAGTTTATATGAAAAATAATTATAAAGTTCCTAAATAAAGATAATTGACTAACCTTGATCATATTGAACATAGTGCATAGCTTTTTCTGATTTAGAAGCATATTTTCTCATCACATTATCATCCATTAGAGCAGATGCTCTAAACAAGCTGAAACAGCCAGGACTACATAATACACAGCCGATCATATGTTCAGTTGCCTTTTGAAACCAGTGACCTATCGCGTATTCAAACTTTTGATACCATATCATAGGACCTTTAGCAGGGGCATTACATGAATACATAATGAAATATTTAAATTCCCTTTTAAGTTCCATAATAATAACTCAATTTTTTATCTGATAGTAAACCTAAACATAATTTCATATTAGTTAAAACTTTTTAAAATTAAAAATTTCCTTTAAATAAGACCTGCTCCAACAGGATGAATTCTTCCACATGCCGCTCCTACTTTATGATTTTTTTTCATCAGATCAATCAATAATTGAGCAGCCGCTGGCTTAACATCTACATCTCCATCTAATGTCAAAATAAATGTGTTATCTGCTCTAACTTGTTTTCGTTGTATATCCTCGATTTGAACCCATAATTTTTGTCCCAGCAAATAATACATATACATTACCTATAATTAATTCGTTTAATTAAAAAAATGGCAATATTAATGTAACTTGACTCCAGCGTTTTTTATTTCTAATCATAGTACGATCCTTCATATGAACGTTTAATGTGTTCCTTCCGGGCAAATTCCATATAAGTTTTCCTCCATATGGCATGATGACTTTTCTCGGAGGAGCTAATCTCATAGGTGTCCGATGAACCGCACTAAAAGATATTATAAAAGGATGCTTTTCATATAAAATTGTTACATTTATAAAATTTCCAAAATCTACTAAATTCGATAGGAATGAAAACATGATAGAATTGAGAAATATTATAAAAAATATTATATTTTTTGTAAAGTTAGTCGTAATTGAACTGACCAAACTATATGTGGTTTACAGATACTCTTTTCGAACTGGGTTGGAATTTATTTTACATCTTTCATTTGGTACAGGCAAAACACGGATAGATTATCTCTTGCATCCGACTTAAACACTCTTAGCCACTTGCCATCTTATTCACTAAATTTTTTTACCACCTTATCTTATAAAAATTTACCCGCCCCCCCTCCCTTAAAAATTTACTGAAACCTTATATATTATTACTGATACAAGATAAATCGGATATATATTTTATTAACGTTCATGTATTTTAAATTATAGATTATTGTTTGAAAACACTTTTTGAGACAACAACTGCTTTCCCACCCTTAGCCGTCCCGTTTCCAGTACCCAAAAAGACTGGGATGCTCCTCTGATCGCCCGTTCCGTTGAATATCTTATTTCGAGGCCCTTTGAGGAAAATCCCAATAATTTGGTACTAAATGCAAACTCTGGCTACGAATGGTTGGAAGCTATCCCCAGCGCCAATCTCGGCCTCCTCATGACTGGCGAACAGCTACGTATATCTATAGCCCTCCGTCTCGGCTGTAATGTCTTAGTTCCCTCAATCTGTATCGACTGTGGTCAGCCCATTGAATCGAAGGCTTACCATCCCTTGCACTGCAAGTTCTCCCGTGGACGACAACCTCGTCATAAATCTATCAATAACATTTTACTAGCCGCCCTCAAAAAAGTTAATATCCCATCTACCCTTGAACCAGTGGGTCTTTCAAACGAATACGCCATACGCCCGGATGGTATTTCTCTCATACCCTGGTCTAATGGTCTTCCGCTAACATGGGATTACACTTGCGTTGATTTTGAAGCCAAGTCTAACCTCTCATTTTCTGCTATCGAAAAGGCAGAAATCCTTAAAAAAATAAATACGCTGGCCTCGCCAACACTTTGTTCATTCCTATCGTTACCAATACCCTAGGCATGTTTGGAAACGAGGCCCTCAATTTCATCCAAATCATAGGAAAAAAAATGAGACAGATCTCAGGGGACCCCAATGAAGGATTTTACCTTCGCCAGCAGATTTCCCTGGAAATTTGCCGGTCTAATTTTTTAAGCATTCACTCTTGGATGATATATACCCACCTTTTTTTTTATATATATATTTTTTTATAGTCCTTTTTAATGTCTTCATAGATTATATATATATTATATATTTATTTTTTTTCTATTTAATTTTTAATATATCCATTTTAATATATATTTTTTAATCCTCTGTAAATTATATGAATTATTTTATAATATTTTTGTTTGAAAATTAAAATATATTGCAAAATAAATTAATATAATGAAAATTGCATTGTAAAAAATTAGATATTTAGATCAAAAAAATATAATCGATTTCTAGGAATAATAGTTGAAACGGGATAGAATTCGTAACTTAGATAAGAAAAAATTGGCCTGTGGTGGCAAATTTTTTTAGATTATTAATAAGGATCGAACTATAGTATCTCTTTCTGGAAAAATCACGTTACACATTTTTTTGTTTGGTGAAAAAATTACTAATTTAGTTTACTGATATTTTATATAAATATTATCCTTAGGCATTTGGCATTTTTCACACAAAAAATAGACTTTAAAAGCTTTATTTAATAGACATATAAAGGCGCTTAATAATAATAGAGTGATGAGGATTGACTGGCCATGTATTGATTGGCCACAATTAGCACATTCACATATTCATATTAAAATGAAAAGCTCTTCCAAAACAACATTTGGTGAAATAAAATGATGAACAAGCTTAAGAATCTTTAGTATAGATATTAATTTATAATATTATCATTAAATAGATGTGGTAATAAATTGAGATTTTAATACTAATTAAATTAATGTATAATTAATTTTTTATTTAACTAAAAAATGTAGAAACATTAACATAGGTCTTAAGTATTTCATATTGTATTATTTCATATTTATAATAAAATTCTTAAATAATATATTATGACCAGTTAATACACAGTATATGGCAAGTCAATACACACTATGTATTGACTGGCCAGAAAAATAACTTTCACATAATCTCATTTAGCTCATAAAGTATTATACATAGAGCTTTGATTCAAATTTTATTTTAAAGATTATATTTAGGCTACACGTTGATATAATTTGGTTAAAATAAATTTTAATGCCTTTTTTCAAAAATGCAAAAACATGGCCATTCATGGCACATTTCCCTAATTATACATAATAATTTATTAAAAATTCTGCCAACCAACTATTACAAGTTTTAGTTTTCATAAATTATACTCTATTTAAAGGAATTCATATGTTTAAAAAGTTTTCATAACATTAAAAATTTTCAAATTAATTAGTTATAAAAAAAATTAACAAATTTAATGGAATTATATATAAAAGAAAAATAATTTTCCGATTTAAAAAAGTGGAAGAATTTAGAACTTACGATTAGAGATCTGCAAAAGTAGGCCTGGCCCGTTCCCGGCCCAAACCCGGCACGGCCCTTTAAAAAAAATCGGGCTCGGGCTGGGTCGGGCCTAAAATATTTTAAGAATTCGGGCCGGGCCGGGTCGGGCCTTATAAATTTTTTTAAATATATCTTAATTTATCAATTTTATGTTGAATTTTTTATGTAAAATAAAAATATTTGATTTTATTTATAAAAACTAGACGCCAAAGATATATGGTATTTTGAATATATATAAAAATTAATTTCTATATTTATAACAAATTCGGGCCGGGCCGGTAAATTTTTTCAAAAATAATTTTGGGTTCGGGCCGGGCCGTCTAAATTTTTTAAAAAAATTTCGGGTTCGGGCTAGGCCGGGAAAAACTTTTTTAAAAAAATTTCGGGCCGGGTCGGGCTTAAAAGATTAGGGCCCGATGCAGATCACTATTTATGATCGACTTCAATTTTTATTAATAAATTCTTCTTTATTTTCTTGTTGGATTTCATGATAAATCTTGGCAAATTATAGAATCATAATAAATAAGTGAGTGATAAGATTATACCCTATATCTATGTAATGTGTTTTCTAACCAATGCCCTGATCATTTAAAATTTTGTATAATTATTCAACCTTGCAGCTATATCGACCACGCTTATCAATTGCTTTACAAATGAATTTATAGTACGATATCCTTTATCATCTTCTTCAAAAGCTTCATCTACGAATATATGAGCTGTAATATTTAATTTAAATATTAGTTTCAATAATTTACATATCACTATTATAATTTCCTTAATTTTCATATTAAGTTGTTTGAGTTTAGACAAAAATTATGAAGTAAATTAACATATGAGCTCAATCACTTCAGAAATATACATTCGACTTTTATGTCAATTAGCCTTTATGTAAACAAATGCTTTATATATTATTCAAAGGAAAAAAATGCATGATGTATAACCTTCAAATTCATAATAATCTGGATCTGCCACTTTCAAAAACTTTTCTGCTTTCCTTCGAGCACTCTGGTCTTCGTCCATTCTAAAAATATATTAAAATAATTTCAGAATATTATATATAATATGTTGTTGTTCAAATTAAACAATGTAAAATTGTTTACAATTTTATAAACCTGAATATTGATTTTAACACTTGAGTCATTTCGTCGGCCGTCTCATGCCACATTGTAGCGCATATGTATATCCGAATAGTAGAATCATCCCCTGAGTTTATATCTTCGATAGATGTTAAATTATTATTACTTTCCAAGTCTGGAGGAAGAATTTGGGAAGGCACTTTGATCTTAGTTACCTTTCCATCTAACCTATTTTTTAGGCTTTCAATACTCGCATAGATATTATTGGAATCCCTAGTGCCATTTTGTTGATGTGGCTTTTGATTCAATCCCTTATTAGACCCAATTCCATTTCTTAAATAATGTTCACTTTCATAAGGATTATACTGAGAACCTAATCCTTCCAAAGTTTCTTCCTCGTCTAACACATACTTATCCATATCATCCTCGTCGTATATTCCATAATCTATTTTCTCGTTATCCTGAAACTTGATTATAAAATTTAAATATGCATATTTATATAAATTAAACAAGTTTTAATTTCTAATTATTTCTTTCTATAGTACTTATATTTAAGTTAAAATCAATGCTAAATATCCACTTTTGCTTTTACTCCAGCATAAAAGAAATAATATTTTACAGCTCTTCTTGAGGAATATAAAATTTTTCGATCTCTTCTCCTATTAAGTGATAAGGATTGAACTAGAGACACCGGGCAATACATAGGACTCACGAATAACCTAAATTTACAAAAAAAAATACTTAGTAGATAAATATTTATAATTTGGCTTTAACTTATCAGTCTTGGCTAGTCTTTCTACTTTTGGATACCATATATGTATTGTTATCCATGTTTGAGATAATACCCATAAACCCCAAATCCATGCATACCTAAACATATCCTTATGATTTCTAGTGTAACATTTCCAAAAAATATTTTCAGCGAAAAACTTTGATCTAATGGAGCATGGGTTGTTACTCTCCATTTCACAAGTTACAGTAATCAATGTCAATATCATTGGAACGGCTAATGTAAGTGGTAATGAGAAACTAAATTCTTGAATCGTAACTTTACAAGTAAATTTGCATACGTAATAACATAGTAAACAGGCGAATACTTGAGCTATAATTATCATCCAAAATGTAATGTATGGAACATTTATTGGAGAAATAAGCGTAGCTCCTAAAAGATTTTCTTCTTTACTAATGCCTAACCTCGTTGCTTCCTCTTTTAAATTGTTTACACGAATAAAAGATGGCAAATAATCTCTCAATACCTTGATAGTGAGTGAAGAATTATTGTTATAAATAGCACTCCCCCCAATTCTCCATGCCTGCTCCAGTATCCATTTATGATAATCAAGTGTGGGTATATTTTGTGGGCCTTTTTTAATCAAGTCGAGCAGATTATTGTCAATGGTGTGCGTACTTTCAACAGCTATATTTATTAATTTGTTCAAAGCAACATTACTATCGTTTGTTATCCTTGGCCTCATTATAAAATCGTAATTATCAATCACTACATAGCCCAAAGGGGAATATTCAGCTGCAACAGGGGAAAAAAATATCGGTAATAAAGTTTTGCGATACATGTTTAGTGTTTGGGTAGGCGTTTCAAATATCGTATTTACGTCGAAAAAATTGTACTCTAACGTAAACAAAGCATACGAACTAATCACGCAAAAGGTCAAAAATAATTTCCAGAGGCTTATGTAAACATAAGTTTTAGCCCTGGATCTTTTCAGCTTTTCCTTGATTGATGATAGGATGTGTACGCACGAAAATGAATTAGAACATTTATCTACAAAATTTTCCCACCAACTAAGTGATATTAATATTGCCGCTAAAGGAATTGCCCACCCCAATCCATCCTTATTCATTTTTAAAAAAAAATTCATTCCATACAAAATTGAGTTTTGTTTGTTGTTGGTTATGTTAAAATCTTTAGAACTTTTAAAATTATTTCCTCTAAAGTTTATTTTTTTAGTTATTCCCTCAACATGTATATTTTGACCTTCAATTGCCATCAGGGGCCATACAATTAGGCCAACAATAAATGATATAATAGAAAGGAGATCTAATCCGATTTTAACCCACTTAAAATTTTTAACAGGTTTGTTATTTTGGCTTAATGAAAGTGGCAAGTTTGCATTTGATCTGCAAAACATGTGCAAAATTCCTGGTATGATACAAAAACAATGTGTTATCATTATTCCGTGGGCAGAATCGAGGTTTGGAAGAACTTTCAATACAAACAAACAAATTCCTATTGTATGAAGGGTTTCAATACTGAAAACCTAACATGTTTTTTTTTATTTATTAAAATTAATATTATTATAATATATATATTTTATTTATTTTCGATATTTTATTATTAATTATCATGCAAATCTAATTAATTCACAATATATGGATCTGAAATATTTATTTATAAAATTTCAAATGTAATTTACTATGCCAAAAATTCTCCAAGAAGGTGATAACGTAGTGTGAAATAAAACTTGCCTCAAACTACGTATAAATATAAAAACGTATGGCATACAAACGCAAATCAAAATTGACCACAACCACTTTAAGGAGGCAGCTTTGAAAGGATCTAAAAACGGTTGAATAGGATAATTGTATTTAAGACTTGACGGTGAACCGCCTTTTATATTCTCTTCCGAACGGAGTTTATTATTATCCAACCTATTCTTGGTTTCTGCCATAGTATTAACAATATACTTTTTATCATAGATGGCATAAAGGGCTAAGTGACTATTTTTTTTTGGTCGAGAAATTTTGTTTACCTTTTGTTCATCAACAATATAGGAAACAGGCTCTACGATGGAAATATGTTTCGAATTGCGAGTCAAACAAACTTCCTTTAAATGAAAATCTTTCATTGTATTATGGATGGTAGAAGGGTTATCATTTGATAATATAGGGAAATCTAAATGTCTAGAAAAATTTTCGGAATGTAGGCTGGCAGTTATAATCAAGAGACAACCCATACTGATCATAGTAGTCAGTAATACCATAATGAAAGTTAATAAATAAATCAATAGTTTGGAAATCTGTTTGAAAACTTCAACCAATTGACTAGACTCATCAAAATCTTTGGTATCAATTGGAACTATGCGGAAGATGTCCCATGGGGTTGTTGTACTATAGGTACTATTCGATCTGTTAAATTTCATGACAGAAGTAGATATTTTATAAAAATAATCAAATCAAATCACATTTTAATTTTAAAAGTTAATTTGAAAAATTATATCAAATGATTATACATATTCATTTCTAAAAATTTCTTTTATAACTGAATTGAATAAATATGTCATGTTACAGAAAATGTTAAAAATTAGGCAACACGTATATTAGCATACAAATATACTAGTCTATTAGTGCATTGTCAGTAAACCTATTTAAAAAAGAATCAAATATTCAAATCATTTTGAATTATACGAATTGAATTATATAGAGGGTTTTTAAATAGTAATAAAAATGCATAAACTGTATAAATATGAAAGTTTCAAACTACTTATTATTTTATCATTGTTCACTTTCATAATATCCTATGCAAATAGATGTTTTTTTAAAAAAAATATTTCTCACATTTTTTCAATGTTATCTTGAATTAATTTCCGTTTTAGGGATATTATTTTTAACTCTAAATCAATATTAAACAAAAATGTGTGCTGTGCTAGAACCAATTTTGTAAATCGTCTATAATTTACACATCTTTTTATATCTTAAAATACTATATTTCAACCGATCAGACCACCGGGGCGAGGCTTCCAAAACTATTTAATTTCCTGCCCTATAATGGATAAAAATGCCTTATTAGAATTATCTTAATTGTTTAAATTATAAGCATACAATAAAATTTAGTCTAAAATAATAAATTAATAAATAGTTATATCAACAGTTGGGACATATGAAATACATGGTTTTTCCCATTTTTTAAAAAATATTAGCATAATATTGGATAAAAGTTCCATAAAATAACCAAAGATAAAATATAAATTTAGAAAAATATTTTATAATGATATATTAATAGTTCAAATTACCCTGCCCAAATACCATTAACAATATCTTTACTAATCATGATTAAAATAGTTTCTAAACACAATAGATTTATAGGAATTTGCTGGGGGGGGCATCATTAGATGGGGTTTTCACCATGAATTTTATTGGAAGTTTTTAGGTCCACATATTGTAGTTTGGCTATATTAGATTTTCATATAATTCACTTTTTTTATAAAGTTTTTTTTCTAAAAATTTTGAATTATAATCGTTAATTTAAAAAGTTATTAGCTTATACTAATAAAAATTATTTTGGGTTGTAAACTTGTTTTACTATAATATTTACAAAAACAGACAAATTTATATTAGCAGGTGGGGGGGGGGGGGATTTGTTTCTCCTCCCCTTCTAGGTTACGAGCTTGTTAACACCTTTAAGGTTCGTAAAACATTCATAAATTGTAAATGAAGACTCATACTATGCTATAAAGGTTAAATAATATATTAGTTATATTAAATTTCATATAAATTCTTTTGCAAATTTCCAAATTTACATTGAAATTTAATATCTCATAAAATTTTTAATAATATTTATAGCAAAATATTTTTTATATAAAAACGCCCACTATTAAAATCAATATTGGGGCCGAATCTAATGATCCTAGTTTGCTAATTTTAAAAATGATATAAATGGTTTGCCATGCCCCAAGTTTCAACTAGCTCCTATTTCTCAATCATCAAATCAATAAATAAAAATATCATAATTATTCACATTTTTAATAGATTTAGAAATCAAAATTTTATAAGGATAGTAAATTTTCGATATTTTTAAAAAAACTCCTTTAATTCCAAATCAGAGACATGCAGAGGTTGCTATTGCACATTCTTGGCCGTATTTGTAAAAAACTTTTTGGAAATATATTTTATTTCATCTATTTATTATATATATACATAATAATAACAATTTTAAATATTCAGCCCAGCCCGGTTATAGAAAAATAAATCTTTCAACCCGACGGGTATTTTTTTTATGTCATCCGGGATTTTTTTTAAACTTTATGGCCCGGCCCGTGTACCCGGTAATGAATAATTATACATATAAATACCAATGGAACTAATTGTATAATAATTTTCAATTTCGTATTAATTTTTAAATAGGCCCTAAATAATTCAAAATTCATGGCAAGATTATCTGAATTTTATAAGATAGGTACACACTTACTGGAATATTACAGTAATCAGATTTATCAAGTTAAAAACGTGCATATTAAATGCCTGTACTATTTTCTTCCTTAAATTATTTAATTGAAGGTTTTAATTTCGAATTTGGGTAAATAATTAAAAAATTGTTACTTCTTTTTAGAGGCTATTACTTCAGGGGAGTATTTAGCTTCATAGGCTTAAGGGTTATAGGAACTACTGACTTGTATTGCCTAATTTACAACATTGCTTATAACATTATATATTTAAACATAATTTCACTCATTTAAGTATCAGTTTTTATACTCTAAGATTATTTACCATTTTATGCTTTCTTACTATTTATAATTTAGATTTAATTTCTTTTTTTCGTTAAAATTTATGTATAAATTTATAGGTTAAGCATCTAAATATTTATTCACCTCTGCCCAGTTTTTATATCTTTATCACTTCCCGTTGGTTCATAGTCGCTATAAATCGAGGCTTTCTCTTTATCACTTTTTTGCGCTTCCATTCCTTTTATGTTTATCTGAATAGCATGTTAAAATCTGACTTTGTTACTATTATACTCTTGTTGTGACGATCTGACGATCTGTTTAAATGATAGTCATGCTTTAAAAGGTTTCAGACAAATTACAATATTGTTAATGGTTACATTACTAAAAATTTACAGATCAATTAAAAGGGTATCTCAGATAATCAAATAGTATCTAGATAAACATGTTCATATAACTTGGAGACTTCCAGACCAAGCTTGAAGCCCTTCCGAGCTCAAGATTGATCAGGGGATTGGTGGTTTTTTACAACCCTGGGTCTAGTAATTTTTTTAACCTACTAGGACAATATAATTGATTTAAATTGTAATATTTAACCAGTTGAAAAATCAGAGAGGTCATTTAAACATTCATTTGTATATTCTCGAAAAACCAGTGGCGTAGTCAGAATTTATTCATCGAGGGCTTTATGAAAAAAATTTGGGAGTTCCTCAACTTCCTTTCCCGACCTTTGGCTGGAACACGCCTCAGTGAAGTATTTTTGTTGAGTGCATTAACAGTATCGTAGCCAGTATAAATGTAAAAATTGGCCAACCTTAAAATTAAAAGCGACTGAAAGCATTTATTCTTAAAAACCTACTTTTTAATCTGTTTCTTGGACAAAAAAAATTATTTTTATTAAAAATAAGAAAAAAAAATTGCCAAAATGACATCATGCCGGTATGGTAAATATAAAAAAGATAACTTGTTCGCGCTAATATTTCGTGCAAGATAAGTTATTAATTTATCGATCAGTTATTTGACAACCACAAATAAGACAGCACGTTGTAAACAAAATGAAAACTAGCTTTTGAAAACATTAATTCTGAATCATACACCAACCCAATACGTCGTGCCTAATTAGTATATTTTATTGCTATCAGTTTGGTATATGGTTTAAAGGGGGGAAAAAATATTGACAAAATTAAAAAAAATTGTCAAAATTGGCATTGTGTCAGAAAGGTTATTTTAAAGTTCTAAATATCTTGTCTGCATTAATATTTGTGCCTTACTTATTAATTCTTAAAATCAATTATCAACTATAAAAACATTTTTATTAGCAAAATAAAACTATGATATCCCACCTTAAGCCTGAAGGCAGTCAAATTTCTGGCATTAATTCTGAAATCAATAATTAGTGCCTATACATGTATACATTTTCGTGCTTCAATTTGTTTGGTAGATAGTTTATATGAAAAACGCATTATTTACCAAATAATAAATATTGCCAAGATCGGCATGATGCTCGAAGAAAATTTTAGAAGCAATGAATATCTCGGTGAGCCAATATGTAATTCCAGATTAGAAATTAATTTATCAATCAGTTTTTCCAGTCCATAAAGAGAAACCAGTTTTAAATAAAATAAGGAATATAATGAAAGCCCTTCAAGTCTTAAATAGTTTACTTTCACTGATTTAAAATATTTTAGATAATTAGTTTTGGAAACATGATGAAGAAGAGAAAAAACAAAATATATAAAAAAAATTACTTTTATCACTATTAAAAATTAACTTTTGTTATTTCAAAATATCAGACTCCATGTCTGTGGCTGTAGCTTTGATCCTTTTACAATTTAACAACAACGACATAAATCTCAAATAGTCTTATGACCTTTTTAGAAAATGTGATCCCAAAATTAGATAAATTGGTTAAGGTAAAATTGAAAAAGATTATAATAGATTTCTTTTTACTCTTATGCGCTAAGGTTGAAGGATTGTTTAATAAAATATTACTAGTACTATGTGCAATTATACATTGGAAAATCAGAAGGTTACGTTGATCTCATACATTATAGCATCTTTGAAAAACACCCTATTTCCACTTTTTTTATATAATTTTTAACAAAATTTTTTTCATATGAAAATTTTATTAAAAAATTAAATGGGTCCATAGTATTAATAATGTTTGCTCGAAATTTTTAAAATTTTTTCATGCTTTTTTTTAAATAGTGGAAGAAATTTCTGAGATGATTTTTTATAGATAAAGAGAGATTTTTATCAATTTAAAAGAAATAATAGCAATTTATTGTAACAATATAAAATTATTATGAAAACCCAAAATTTTACCTAATCATATTTTATTGGGGGGGGGGGGTTATATAACTCACAACTCCTTTTATCTACGCCACTGTGAGAAACCATTTACAGAATATAGCCAAATTTTAAAAACCCAAGCCAAGCAAGAAAATGCAAAATATATAATGGGTGCATCTGCATTGCAGATATCTGACATTACTAAAGTATATTATAATATATTTTGTTATTTTTGTTATATTTCAAAATTTTTATTAACCATAAAGTGTCAAATAAGTAAAAATTACGAGCATATTTGATTTTTTAAGTTTTACGCTTATTTATTCTAATTAGACAAATAATGCATTTATATCATTTTAAAATTTTAAATTAAATTCTAACATTATAAAATATCTTAACTCTTTACTATG